TTTTGTTGCATGATAAATTGCATCAGTTAAATTGTCCAATGAACTACAGTAGAGCGTCGATTATCCGAAAGCCAATCATCCGAAAGAATTCCAGTCGGCAAATTTAAATTTTTGCCAGTGCTGTGGCGCTGCAATCTTTGGCTATGTCTTGGGCTACTCAAATATTTTATGTTTTTGATACTAAATTAACTTCTGAAGTATAATTTTTTATTGTTTTTATATTTTTCAATATATTTATTTTGTTCGTACAAAATAAAAAAAAATTTTTTAACGATACAATAGTCTTTGTTAGGCTTAACATCGACGAAAATTCAACGAGAAGCGACGCGCAACGGAGAAAAATGTCAAGATGGGATAAATTAATATATTTTTTCGTATATAATCGGTTATCCGAAACATCAATCTTCCGAACAACACCAGTCCCCAATTGATTCGGATAATCGACGCTCTACTGTATTTTGTTCTGAAAAATTTTTTGTATTTCCCTCGTCTGGTGATTCTTTCAATATTTCGCCAAAATTCTCATCTTTACAATTAACAAATAATTCATTTTTATCAGGCATATTTTGTATTTCTTCACTGCAACTATTAGGGACTTCAATATCTTCAAAAAAACTTTTAATTTCACTACTGGATTTAGTTCAGATGTTTCTGAAAATTCTTCAATGTTATCACTATTATTCCAAAATTTTCACACAAATTCAATGAATCTTTCTGCATTTGTTCCCATGATTCTGATGATTCTTGACAATACTATAAAGTTCTAGAAATTAAGCACTTCAAAAATGTTCCTCTTTCATCACCTGTATAAGATTGTTGTGAATTTGCCTTCTCTTCCATTATGTATTGACTTCGCTTGGCAAAAATTAACTGATAAATGCACAAAGTGTAGAAGTTATGGCTAAAGGTATCCAAGAATTCTCAACGAGAAGAGCTTATCGCTGTATCATTAAGTTGACTAAACTCAAATCTAATCAATATAGCAGGACTAGGAAATGTAGACGAGCAGGATATTGAAGAGTTACGGCAGGTTTATGGTGAGATCCTTACCAACGACGACCTTTAAGAATTGGCAGAACATGGAATTCTTGTGGAACTGGAAAATAGAGATTCTGAAAACAAAGAACCCAAAAAATTTCTCTACAGATTTCTTCAGTAAAAGTTTGATAATGATAACTGAAATCGTTGATTGAATTGTAGTGAATGATCCAGATTTTGAAAGGAGTGCAAAAGCAAAACGAGGCATTTTGGATGCGATCTTCTGCTACCGACATTTGCTTAACGAAAGAAAAAAGCGACAAATGAAACTTCACGACTTTTCTGAAATTCTTGTTTTTTTTTCCAATAAAGTCAGGACCTTCATCACAAAATATGANAACAGATTAATCATTTTTACATTACTTCTTATGGGAAAGGTTGGTTTGGTATACGTCCTATTCAGTATAAGTCCAAACATTAGGAACGGATTAAGGTCATATACTGAGGTTCCACTGTATTTATAATTGTACTCTATCCTATTCAATGTTCTTTACATTCTGACTCCTGTTGAGTCTAGTATTAATCAGCATTTTCCATGTTACTATATCTTACCACCATTTTTCCATTCTACAATTGACCATTACACTTTTCTTTTTCTATTACATCCTTCTTCATGTTATTTCTTTAGATCTAATTTTTTAAGATTATTATAAATTTGAAAATTAAATAAATTTATCAATTAGTATCATGAATGTTATATGAATCAGATTCATAATGACAATACATTGCAAATGAATAAATTTTTATTCATTTACAATGTTTTTAGCGTTTATAAACATGATATATGTATTGACAAATTGTAGAAATTCATTTTTGGAGTATTGTAATATAAAATCTTTAAACTTATAATAAAATATTTAAGTGAATTTTCATCTATAAGCAATATTGATGTTTTTTTTAAAGCTGTTAAAAAGTTATCCCTTTTACATTGTTTTAACAGATATATTGTCAATATTATATACCAAAATTTTATATTCTCTATCTTTACTTTGAATCATCCCATACTATTAGGTCAGTCCATAAGTTCATGCGTATTTTATGACCTTGAGAAAAATCTCCTTTTGCTGTTAAAAATGCCAGTCTAATGTGATACTTTTTACATTGAAGTGTTAAATTGGATCTCATTCATATAATACTGTTCAGAATTGGGAACATTTCAGTTGTTTATTTTCGTTAAAATGGAAGTAACAGATGAATATAAGAGACATGTTTTATACTTTTTATTTTTAAGTGATGAGAATGCTACAAATGCAGCCAAAAAATTAAATACTGTTCATAATCAAACTGTAATTAATGTAAGGACTGCGCAGAAGTGGTTTGAAAGATTTAGAAATAATGATTTTAGTGTGGAGGATAAGGCTCGTACTGGAACACCCATTGACTTTGATGATGATGCTCTCTCTGCACTAGTTGAAGCAGAACCATCTTTAACAGTTGATGAAATTGCGGAACGTTTAAATTCATCCCATGGAACTGTTCATAGACATCTACAACAAATCGGAAAAGTTTCAAAGCTAGGAAAATGGATACCACATGAACTGTTAATAGCTAACTGACAACAACATGTAAACATTTGCACGTCTCTTTTATCCCGCATTACTTTGGAACCTTTTCTTGATTGGCTGGTTACTGGAGACAAAAAATGGGTCCTCTATAATAATGTGACGAGAAAAAGACAATGGACAGATCGTGACAAGCAGCCAAAACTGGCTGCAAAAGGTGGGTTGCATCCAAAAAAAATTCTTTTGTCTGTTTGGTGGGATATGTCAAGTGTAATTCACTTTGAGCTGTTAGAACCTAATCAAACAATTACTGCTCAAATGTATTGTGATCAATTTGAGCGTTTAAATGAAAAAAAATTGACCGTCATTAGTGAACAGAAAGCAGGTTCTCTTGCAACATGACAATGCCAGACTACATGCTGCAAAAATAACTGTAGAGAAACTCAAAAGCTTCAACTGGGAAATTTTACCTCATCCACCATATTTGCCAGATATTGCTCCCAGTGATTATC